CCCGCCCACCCCCTCGGGCTGACCGTGCCGGCTGCGGCCCCTGCAGCTCACAGCCTCCCTTCCTCCTGTGGCCCATCTTGGTGATGCCAGACTGCGGGACCTGCCGGGCTGGCTCGCCCGTCTGTGGATTACAGGGCCCATCGAGGGCCTGGAAGAGGATGGGAGGTCACTGCCCTGTGGTCTGTCCCCTCCCTGCCTGTGGTGGTGGCACGTCTGGTGCGGGCTGACCTGTTAGCCACGTGACCTGGCCCGAGTCGGCCCAGGTCCCCTTCTTGCTGTGAGGCTCCAGCCCTGCAGAGCCCGCCCCAGGATCAGATGCCAAGACCGTGGCCATCAGGGCCCAGCTCCTGCCACCCTGCGTCTCCCCGACCTGCCCTGCCGCCCTCCCGAGCTCCTCCCCAGGTTTCTGGGGCAGGTGGAGTGCGGGACTAGAGGGATCTGGACTAGGACTCCCTGGTCAGGGCAGCAGGTGGGACCCGAGGGCAGGTCACCGCAGAGTCTGCCTACAGCCCCTGCCCCTCCCAGAGGGGGTGTGGGCCCCAGCCTGAGAGGCCCCAGGAACCAGACTTTGAGGGGCTTCCCATCAATCTCTGCTCTGAGTATTGCCACCTGACAGGTGCCCAGGCCTGGTGCCCAAGGGGACTGAGTGCCGCTGCCCCAGCCCCTGCACGGTGCGGACTGTGTCCCTGTCCCAACCCTGCTGCGGTGGTCACTGGCTGCCCGATCTGGGTCCTAGTGGCTCAGGGCCACCACCCACCCTTCTGGCGTGCCCCTTCCCACCGCGGCCATCAGACAGCGTCACCATCCCAGGTGTGACCCGCAGGCCCGCTGAGACCACCCACCCCCCGGCCTGTCTTACACAGGAGCTGTGAACCCACGGGCCATTCAACAGTTCGGTTTATTAAAGGTGCGTGGGAGGCCTGGCCGCGTCCTTCCAGAGCACGGTTTCCGGCTGGGCTTTGCGTTGGGCGGGGCCACTGGGCAGGAGCTATTTACACATCCAGGGGTGGGGGCGCCAGTCAGGTAACCCCGGGCAGTTGGTTCTTCGCCAGGTTCGCCCGGTAGTGGCTGTTGGCCTCTGGGCTGAGGGGTCGGGGGCCCCGGGAGGCTCTGGGGCGGGCAGCTGGGTGGCCAGGTGGCAGTCCACAGTGCAGTGAAGGTTTCAGGGGCCCGTGGAA